CTCCAAGTTTATCTAAATTTAACAGTCTTTATTTGGTTTGATTAATCTTTGATAATAATAAAAGGGCACATTACTCCCTACTTGCCAATAAAGATATAGTGTTTGCTTCTGAATTAAACAATTTGTGATTAAGCAGAAATAGAGTATTTTATTTCTATCAGTGGACTAGCTTTAAATGTGTAGTCTCCTTGTCGCCCCAGTTATTACCGTGACACAACCCTGAGAAGAGTCTAAAGTGTTCTACTGAAGCGGGAAATAAATGAGTCAAGTGTTCTACCGAAGCGGGCAAACAAATAAATAAACATAAAGATAGACAGGCAACGGTCACGATAAGTAGCGAACAGCGGTTGCGAGAAGTGACAGCCGAAGTGCGGTTGTAGACTGAAACAGCTACCACATATGACTAACACCTATAGAAAACAGAGATGGCTGGCTCAAATCTCCAAATGTTCTGACTTCATATTTTAGGAATGTGATATATATGATTCAAGATCTATTACTGACCACTTCCCTGACTTGCTGTGTAAGCCATTCTACACCCTCTTGTAAACCCTCTCCAGTTAGGGCATTGCTAGCACAAATGTGCCATGGTTTATCTAGAATTCGTTCTAATCCCAGACCTGCGGCAATTTTTACACTGGACAAAGCATCCCGTACATCCATTTTGTTTGCAAAGAACAGGACAGGAAATCTTCGTCCAGAAATGTCTGGATGCTGAAGCAGAAGATCGAGTTCTTCTCGCACAACAACAAGACGCAGACGATCACTACTGTCTATAACAAATACAACACCTTGGCAGTCCTTGTAATAATGCTCCCAGAGGTCTCTATACCGGCCTTGCCCAGACATGTCAAATGCAGTGAATCCCACATTCCGATCTGCAAACAGAACAATTATTTTACACAACAAAGTATGTTACTTCTCTTTGTGTATTAATCACAGTATCTTGTCTTCCTTAACAGAATACTAAATACCAGAAAGCCCCTAAATACTGAATTCAGAGGGCCTACATTTTTGGGGCTCTTCTGTACAGTCTTTTGCTTCAAAAGCTGTTGCCTTCATTAATTATTTTACTGAACCTTGACAGAACAATTCGGATTAACTGCTATAAACATATTCTACAGGGATATTTCCGAAGTCCTGGGTTGACATCTTGGCCTACACACTGGCTATACTAACTCGGTTTTTTTTTGCAGTTTTCTTCACTCTTCTGACCAGTACTGTGATAGTGCCTCAATTTAAGCTATTTCCACTTCCTTCCATATCTTTTAAAATTCAATATTCACTAACTAACTAGCTTCACGGAGCAGAGTCCTTCTTGAGAAGATCCCATCTGTGCAGCTACTCAAGAATTTTCCCAAGATTTTATGGGACCTGAAGGTTCATTACCATGTTCACAAGAACCCTCCACTGGTTTACTTCCATTTGTGACCTATTTACTGACTCTCCCTCATATTATGGTTTGTGGCACTGAGACATGAACATATACTTGGTTTAATCTGTACTTATTTCTAGACCAACATCCTTTCTACCTTCTAATACAGTGTATACTTACTCTTAAATTTTTCTACATTGAAGCCCACTGTTGGTACAATTTCTGGTAATTTCTCTTCTTCATTTTTGAAATGATTTATAATTGTAGATTTTCCACTGTTGTTCAAACCAACTACTAATATATTCACTTCTTTCTTCTTAAGTCCTAGAAGGTTTACCAGTTTATCCCAGAATCCCATAGATAAACAACAGATGTGCTTCTACAACAAACAAAATATGCAGAATGTGCAAATATGAATGTAGAAATGGTATTATGGTTAGAACTAGTGCTGCAAGCAGGGTACAGTTCCACCAAAATCAGAATTCATCCTTCTACTGTCTAGGTCACTCAAAACGACAAAAGTATTATCACCTGTATATACAACTGTGCCACGCAACTCTTTTTTGTCCGTTCTTTTATTAATGTGTTAATTTATTATGCAATAACTGTCAGAGGTTGCAATGTGTTGGATGAAAATTCATACAAGGATATGAATGTTTCTTAACACTTTAAAGCACAGCAGCTGCTGTAAGTACCATCTGTTTAAACATTAAAGAAAATTCTGCATTCTGTCAAAAGACTATGTATGTGTGTTTCAAATTATTCACAGAATTAAATACAGTTCATTACCTTAACGGTATTAACCAACTTGTCTTTATATACAACTGCAGTTTGATTACTGAATGGCAGAACTGAACCTTTAAATATTAATTAGAATAACTTTGTGCTGAATGGGTTAAGGTATTAGTCCAGCATGTCTGGAGACAGTGGGAGGGGGGGGGGGGAAGGGACCTGGTCATGACAGGACCAAACAGGGACTGAATAGTGTGCCTCATTAGCACTTGTCATGTTACTGCTAAGTTCACCTTCTGCTTTTCCCAGCAGTCGTTCCGACTATATCTCCTCCTTTTGCAACATTATGGACAGTAATTTTGAATGCAACAATAAAGCAAAATCACAAGTTTTTTTTTCTCCCCAATATACACTATTACCAATTTTGCCAGCAAGTGTGCAGCAAGAATTATTTTTTGTTTTAATGTTAAAGTTTCAGATATAAGACATAAACAGACTTCAAACATTTTATAAACTCAAATGCCCTATGGCATTTCATAGCATTTCTGCACCACCTTGCAGAACAACAGAAGTGTTCATACTATGACCATACACATTACATTATTTCCCATCAATATTTGTGGTACCATGGGCCTTCTTTTTTGCATTCAGTTGATAGTATGTCCGAATGTCAAACAAGGCTATTGCGGGTGTAGTCCTAGTTTTTCTTATATTTTTTTGTGGCCGACAATCGAATAACAACTTATCATGGGCCTAAACCATTCATTCCTCACTTTTTCCTTGGTCAATCCTCACAATCATTACATATTACATATGGTGCAACATAACCCTTCACGTGTCACCGCGTCATGAAATAGCTAGGGCACACGTGTTCTTAATTCTCAGCCTTCTTTTTTAAAACTGCTACATTAGGAACGTAAAAATCCGTTCCTTGGAGAAAACATTTTGCAGACATATGTTCAGATGTATTCTCACATACAGAAACTAATACAGTTTCATTCATCATACCGCAAATGTTACCAAAATAACTCTGGGCAGTAACTCGAATTCTTATTTAATCCATTACTGAACATAACCTCAAAAAATAATTTTCAACAAAACGTAAATTTTATATAAACGCCACGCACATTTACTTTAAACATGTACATATGTATTTACTACAGAGCAAAATATGATACCTTAGTCTGAACTGATGAAATTATTATGTGCCACTAACTAAACCACTGATTACACATAAGCAAAAGAACTTTATGAACTTCACCGTTTAGTATTATGTTATTTACCAACGCTACTAATATCAAGACCTAATAGCGTCTTCTAGGACTTCCTGGACCACTACAAAATTTTATGAAAGAAATTAATTATTGAACCTTTAACACGCATATCGACAGAATCCAAGCCCCTCTCCCCTGCTAAAACACGGATCTAGTCGGTTCTAGCACGCGTATTACCTAACCGCCGAAGCCGCCGAACACAGGAACGATCGCAACCATAGCGTGGCAGCGTACCAAAATTTAAATAGAATTCCTGCTTTAGCTTTGCGTACCCAAAACTTCTGGTTTTTATAAACCTTATTATTTTATGATACCGATGTATATTTCAAATACATTATTAATTACCTAATGGCATGTCAATTGCAGATTCGAAACCAGGACCCCAGTGTTCTCCAGCTCGCCGGTGTTGGAGCGGGCGAAGACAGTTCACCGATTCATGGTCTGTACCGCTCTGTACTAGACCGCGCACCCACGGCGATGCTGTCACGACACAAGATCAACACCTATTGAATCAATAAGTGTATTTTTGACATCGTTTTTCACGAAATTAGTCAAAGTATAAACATTCACGAGTGTATGCAGATAAAAAAAAACTGAAACCAACGTCAGTGCAGTTGCTTGGACTCGCAAAATATTGCTTGCTTGGCATTCCAAACTTTTTTCATTTCATGTGCAACTTTGCATTATGTTTAAGGTTCCAGCACATCTAAACATATGTATTCAATTTCTTTGGTCTCTCTTGCTTCAATAGTCTTTTAACAATAAATTCAACTAGCCTGAAATTGAATTAATTGCATTTTAAAATGAGTTAATTTAATCCTGTTGAACACTTCAAGTTTGAAGTTTTCCAGTTGCACAGCATGTGAATACTTCAAGAACCTTGCTATTGCTAGTAAAGATGGAAGCCTGAAAATCTTGAGGAGTGTCTTTCTTTGACTGCACTAATATACGAGAAAGCTTTCAAATGTTGTTCCTCTGGGGACTCAAGAACTGTAAGACAATTTGGATGATTATCATGTCAAGGAAACTAATTTAATGTAGAACTGTTCAAATAATGTTGTATTTTCAAAACCTTTTATGATTCTGAACAATGTCAGCTTCTCTAAACCTTGCATTTAACTCATCCAAGTGAAATACAAATCAGCAACATATTTTACTCTGGACAGCCATTCATTATCATGCAACTGTGGATAGCATCGTTTTCTTTCCTTTTCTTCAAAAACAGTTTCATGGTACTCAACTACTCAGATCTTTTAAGGCACACATTTGTGCAAAAATTCATTTGCTTTCAAATGGTATTTAAAACGTTTTTTATTATAGCAAAGCAGTGTCTTACAATCTTCATAAAACTGTCATGTCACTCAGGCATCAAATTCTCCATAAGCATTATCACCAGTACAGGTACAATGAAATGAAATGAAATGAAATGAGATACATGGAAGCTGACGTGCCAATGGGACCTAATATGGATTCCAGTTCACACTATATGAAATCTTAACTACTGTAATCTATTGTAAAAAAAGTATTGTAACTTCATTCTCTTATTGTAATCAGCCAATGTACAGTAACATTAGAAGTTCTATATATAGGCAAGAAAGGCCGAACCTTGGATACACATGAAAGATTTCACATCTATGAAATCAGCAAACTAAATTTACAACTAAATGATAATTTTACTGAAATGTTTAACCCTATATATGATGTAATAATTGATATATACAAAACATAACATACAGTTATACCCTCTCCCCCCTACTACCACTTCCATATACACCTTACCTCTACCTCCTCCTTCCCTCCCTTACATTGACCTTAATCTTACATCACCAAATCAGTCATTGTTTACATTCCCTACAGTACGGACAATACTTTGTGAGATTAGGCACTGACTAATGTAAGTAATATACTCTATATGCTCTTTATCTTCAATACCAATATCAGTTGTTGATTACAATAGGTCATATGGAAGCCGATGAGCCGAGGGGACCTAATATGGATTCCACCTCACACTATATGAAATCTTAACTATTGTAATCTACTGTAAATAATTTTAAGTATTGTAACTCTATTCTCTTATTGTAATCAGCCAATGTACAGTAACTGACTTGTCCTATATCATGTAACAATGATCTATAGAGACGAAATAAATAAATAAATTAATATATTTTAATAATATTTATATCCAATTTTGTTGGTGCTGCATATATGTGTGTAAATTATGTGTTTGCCTGATGATGGCTATAAATAGCTGAAACATGTAGCAGGGCCGAAAATGGTCTGATCTTGATATTAGTTGTGTTGTGACGGATATAATAAAGAGGTTGTGTACAGTAACTGACTTGTCTTATATCATGTAACAATGATCTATAGAGATGAAATAAATAAATAAACCTTACTTGATGAGTAATCCAATGAAAAGTAGATTTGAATGGTGTTTTGTGAAAATAGTAAGGAAGAACTTATTTACATTCCACAGATTGTTTGTAACGACTGGTTGAGGTGACTGAGGTTTCAGCTGAGTAATATCAATGTCCAAGCTTCAAATTCCTCTCATACTACTGGAAAGATCATTTATTCTATTGCCTGTGTCTATATAAGCAGTTGTACACAATTGTCTGTGCATTTAACACCTGTGCAAAAAGTAATGATACATGATGATTATACAGTCATGGTTTGGCTAACCCTCAGTGCACACGAGATCAATCTTGCAACTTTGTTATGATGTCTGAAAGTAATGACCTTATGTACAAATACTTGTTTCAGAAGAGGAGCAAATATGAAAGTTGAAAGGTTGTGGATCCCTGCTTGTTAGTGTTCCATAGGGCAATGTCATGCCATAATGGAGTCTGCAGGATGCCATCACATTGCACTGCTCTGCCTTCTGAGTTAGATAGTTGCAACTCAAAAATAAATCCATCTTTGGACCATATAAACAATACTGGGATGAACAAGCCTTGCGGTTTTATAACTGCAGCATGGATCTCAACCACAGATTTGGCATTATTTTCACCTGCACATGGTACAAAGCAACCACACCTGCCAATATTAAAGCAAAATTTCATGCTACTGAAATTTATCCTCTCAATCTCTCAATTACTCCTGCAGAAGCATTTGCTCCCAGTCTTGTGACAAAAAATGAGGTTCCAGCCTCAAAAATTGTAATGAAGTTCGAGATTCCAGCTGTGTCTTGTCTCAGAATGAATCTTGGAATGATTCTCCTGTACTAAATCTTGCCCGTGCTAGTAGGTTTAATTGACAAGCTGCCTTTTTCCCCCCATAGACTTCAAGGATGCTTAAACAAAGTTAAAATTTCTGTGAATAGAATTTATAATTTGGATAAAACAGGAAATCACTGGTCAGTTTGATCTTCCACAGTGTACTGCTGTACTTATGCTGCAAGAGGAATAAGAAAAAGAGGAAAAATAAAATGTAAGAAGTGTGATGTGGGAATTTCTACTGGTTAGTGTTTTCAAGCCTACCATACAAAATACAGGCTGCAGTAATATATCAATTAATGCTGGGATTCTTCAGAAAAATGAAAGGACATAAAATAGAAAAGATTTTTGTTATGTTTCCTGCAAAGTCACTAATAAGAAAACCATCCTTTGGACTGCCAGAATGTCTCTATATAAAATTTAAAGACAACAGTATGGTGAGATAGTAGGTTAGAGGTTTAAGAATTTCACAAACTGCACCCATTTCATCTTTTCTGGAACTGTCAAGGTCTAGTATTTCTCTGACTTTCTCCTTGCTACTAAAAAACTGCAAGACTATACATATTTTATTGGAAGCTAGCTCAACATGATGCTACAGTACAATACTTCAGAAAATAAGCAAGCTTATGAGATCATATTGTTGGCATAGCCCATTTCGACTTTTGAAAAAGTTGGCCGATTTTCACAAATGTTGGTATAGTTATGCCATTAGAGGCCACCCCAGTGTCGCACTGTAATGTCCTATAATCAGAATAACAGCCTGGCTAATGCCCTAACATTTAAGGTGGCAGCAAACCTAGCTCAATATAATCTAGGCTCCAGAAATTATGCCTGGATTTGACCTTTGAGAAATTAGCTACTTTTGTTAAGGAAATTTTCTGTAAAATGTAAGCAAGAGAATGGTGGTTGCATGAACTCTGTACTTAACTTCAGTTTGAGGGCAATAACTAATGAACTACTGGAGACAGTCACATGAAATTTGGTATGGATATGGATTCTACTTACACATTATGAATGACATATTGCATAGAAGTTGACAATTGCAAACACGATTATGGTCCAAAACTCTGAGCTTATGTGTGATGAATTTCTACTGTACAAGCTCAACAATTAGAGAAGCCAACAACAGTCAACACAAACAAATAAAAAGAAAATATATACTGCTTCCATTTTTATTTATCTGTGATGACACTAACAGGCTCCTGTTGGAGTGTCAGTGCAAACAAACAAAACAAAATAACAATAAGACTCTGCAACATTTCAAACTGCAAGCAACAATAATTTGGCTTGACCAGAATTTGATCTTATGACTTACTATACACAAGTCGAACATGCTAGTCCAAGAGCTAAAATGAATTACGTTGTTGAACACAAATTTACATGATGTAAACAGCAAAAGGTTTGTATGATAAGAGATTAGTGCAATGGAAAGTATGATTTACGAGCCCCAACTGGAGCATCTTGTTACACAACATGAAATTCACTCCTCTACAGAATTTCACAATTATTCATAATCTGTAATCCCAAATATATTGCAAGGAGTTTTTCACCAATCCATTTGTTAAAATTTACATGGCTACTGTTCATTAAGCACAGTTTGTGTATGTATAAAATACAAGACCAAATTCTCCAGAGCACCTTCTTCAATGTTGACTCTTGTGAAGCTACTACAATCCATCTAAAGTGATGTGCTGCCTGAAAATTTGTAACAGTATACGGGCTGTGAAAAATTATGATTACATTGTAGAGGAAATAATGAACAGAAAATAATGAAATGTCATATTTTAATGATTGGAGAGATGAAAATATTTGCATCCTTTCTTATAACTGCATTCGGCTACGGGGCTCTGGATCTTGGAGTAACTAGGCTACCTCACTCAGATTATTCTGGCCTTGAGTAGCATCCATCCTACCGCAGTGTATGATGCTAATGATGATAACAGAAGACATAAACTGCAAAACTACAGTCAGGTGCGTTCATCTTTGACTATTATAACTGTACTGTTGATTTCACCTTCAGCTTTTGTTCTTAACACAAACATTAAAATCCTGAGCTGTGAATGTTAATGGAACTAATGAATGACACTTGGATACTGTCCTCATTTATTATCCAACACAATGTTACAATTTATTTTCCAGTCACTATAACAAACTTAGCTTAAAATCCTTAAGTATACTTTGGTAACATAAATACTAAGCTATAATATAATTTTACTGTAAGTAGCACTGCAATTTGGAGAGGCTCATTATGGGTCTACATTACTGTGATTTCCATTCTGTTCCTTCTTAATTCAAAATAACTTGCTGTTAACCTTGCAAGGAGTGTTACCTCCCTGGATACAACGATGCCAGGCTTTTGAAGTTCTTTCCAGTTAACGGACATATGCTACTATGTCTTGCACAAGAAACGTGCGTAAGAACATTGTTGGGATAGCGGGCAAAACTCCCATCCAAGAATGGCTTCTTGCATATGCAGCAGTAGCTATAAGAAGGTATGTCATTATTAGTAACATAATAATTCTGACCATCAACAAAGTACTTATGCTATCATTCCATACTCAAGTATCCTGATGTGTGTGCACTTGTCACATAACTGAATCCTCTCATTCAATATACTCGTACGTAGGTCAGTCAAAAAGTTCCTGGAATTCCCCTGCATATGGAGAATGGGCAATAAACACTGCTGTGGTGGGAAGCTCAGCATGTCTGCTTGCAGACGCAACAGGTCTGGACAGGTTTCAGTGTGCAGGGTCATTACTGTTTCATTTGAATTAGATGTGAGTGTTGGTCATTTGGCACAATGTCGCAGTTTGAACAGCATGCGAACATCAAGCTCATGTGCAAATTGGGAAAATCTGCTTCAGAGATGCTATTGGCCCCGCAGCAAGTTTACGGTGATACTGCACTAAAGAAATCCGCCGTTTAAGAATGGGCAGGAGATGTTAGGGGATGACCAGCGCAGCGGGAGACCTTCAACATCCAGAACTGAAGAAATGATTGGAAAGTGCAAGAACTGATTCGATGTGATCGAAGAATGACCATTGCAGAGTGGGAGCAAGAAGTTGGTACTGTTACTGGCCATTTCTACGTGCAAGTTTTGCAGAGGTTGCACGATGCGGTTAGGAGGAAGCGGCGAAACAAGTGGCAGGGACAGCGGTTTCTGCATCACGATAACACACCGAGCCACACATCGCTTATTGTGCAGCAATTCATCACCGAGAAAAACATTCCTGTCATCACTCAACCACCGTACTCTCTGGATCTCGCTCCGAGTGACTTTTGGCTGTTCCCTACTCTGAAAATGGGCTTCAAGGGGACACATTTCCCAACCATGGAGGACATCAAATCAAATGCGACGGCTGAGCTCCGGAAGATGCCAAAAGAAGCCTTCCATCACTGCTTCCAACAAAGGCAGGATCGATGAAGCAAGTGTGTGCGCGTGCAAGGGTCTTACTTTGAAGGTGATTAGGTAAGCGTTGCCATATGTCCTACCATTAGAGTGCTGTATCACCATTCCGGGGACTTTTTGACTTACCCTCGTAGAATCAGCAAAGGGTCACAGAACCATATCACTAGGTATAACAAAAACCATTACTGATCACTGGAATTATTGCAAAGGAGGGCACAACTCTGAATAAAATTGCAGAAATTGAGAAGCTTCCATGTCACATTCAGGAAACTCCTCTTCCTAGCTTTCAGCACCACCAATAATGGACAAACAGGAAAATTATTATTGATTTCAGGTTTCCATGACGGTTAACTGCTGAAGTTAGTTCAATTTTAGGGTGGCTATATAATGTGAATGTGAGCACTTCTGACAACATTTTGGGGGTATATGCTGCCTCAATCATCAGGGTTGAAGACATTGGCAACACTGCTCACATTAACACAGTGTAACTACCCACAAACTGTACCAACATCAAGAGGACAGTCATTGAACCTCAAATTGCATAACTATTTGGCAAAATAAAGAATGAAGTGATGTTTGTTAGAATCAGGAATTTTACTGAAAACACCTTGGGTGGTATGACCTGCTGTTAACATCACTGATAGAAAAATGGTCATATCTGTTATCTAGGAGAAAGTAAGCCCTGATTATATACTTTCTTTAAGAAGAGAGAGAGAAATACAAATATTCTGTTTATCTTAATGATGGTACAACTTACTTGCTTTCATGGAGGGAGATGGACAGTCGCTGCAGATGATACAATGCGAATCTGTTTTGTAAATTTTCTCCTCGTGCAAGTGCACTTTCTACCTTGGTCATTCGGTACTGAAATCACAGATCACAGTGAAATCACAGATCAGGCTGAAAATATGAATTAGCTTATATTATTATTATTATTATTATTATTATATCATCATTATTTCAGTATTTGTTTCTTGTGTTATGACACCAGGCAGTCACATAAGTAATTGCCAGTGTTTCAAAGAAATCTGCTGCCTTCATATTTTGGGTCCTTGACATGGTGTAATGCATGGTCTGATGATAAAGTTCATGAATTTGCCACCGCGTGCTTGCCATGGCAGCAGTGGACAGAAACCTCAGTATACTTTGATGATGTTGGCATATCAGCAGTTCACAGTTGTGTTATCTATGGCAGTCTCTCTTTGAGTGGCATTTATTATTGTCTGAGGGTGTTTTGGTGTGCTGACAGGAGAATGTCAGAGCTTGAATTAGAATGAACATGGAATTTCTTGTTAAACTTGGCAAGAGTGGAAGCAAAATCAGACAGATGTTTGTGCAAGTTTAGGGGGATATGCTATGAAGAAAACAGCAGTTTACAGTGGGTGACATGTTTTTCTGAGGGAAGAAAAAGTGTCACTGATGAAGAGAGATCAGGACAGCCGGCAAGGACCAGAACTGAAGAAAACACAGCAAAAGTTCATCAAACTGGGGTGAAAATCGTCGGCTGACTGTCAGGAGCATAGCAGAGCATGTGACCATTGACAGAGAAACAGTCAGGAAAATCTTAACTGAAGATCTTCACATGAGCTAGGTATGTGCCAAAATGGTCCAAAAGGAGCTCACCAAAGGACCCTGTCTGAGAGGGAGTTTTTAGCTAGTAAACAACTGTGCTGGAACACCCTCCCTATTTATTGGATCTATCCTCTGTTCCTGAAGATAAAGGAAATACTGAAATGAAGGCATTTTAATGACTGATGACATCAGGAGTAATATGACGGCAGCTCTGTACGCCATTCCACAAAACCAGTTCCAAAATTGTTCTGAAGGGTGGACTAGGCGCTGGCATCGGTTCATAGCTTCCCAAGGTGAGTACTTTGAAGCCAACCAAAGTGATATTCAGCAGTGAGGTATGTAGCACTTTTACCACGATGAGTTCACAAAATTTATTGTCAGACCACATAACTCAAAAGACTGCAATCTAAATTTTCACTGCTGTGGAAACCTCGCATCTTGTATATCATCACCATCATTCATTACTCATCCTACAATCAATACTATATATTCTTGATACTGACAGTATTGTTAAACAACCATCAATTACAAATGATATGGCTATTAATGTACCACACTGAAACACTTTTCTCTAATCCATGCTAATATGCTCCTTCTGGAGTCGGTCTGAGTAGGTACATAGTGGCAACAGGAATTGTAGTGAGAAAGGAATAGGATGCTTTCTGATGATAAACTACATCATATGTATGTCAGTCAGAGATTACAGCATTTACTAAATGCATGGGACTTAATCAAAACAACAATCTGAAACATGGACGAAATGTGCTGCAAATTATTGTATAAACATTTTCAAATGTAAAATAAGGGTGTATCATACACAGCACAATCTTGATATAACAGAAATTTATATATATATATATATAAAAATCCATTACAAGTACTGGTGATATCCAAAAATACTAAAAATACATACTTTCCAAGCCAAACCTATAATTACACAGCACTAAGACGTACAACAAATAATGCACCCACAGAAATATTTATTATCTCTTGGTACATTTCCAATAAGAATTTGCATGTTTGCCATTTTTGTCCATCTGCCTGTACACAACAACTAATAAAACAATAGATTTTCAAGAAATCTCATATTGGGCAGTTATACTGAAACCTGTTAGCAGATTTCAATTGGTTAAAACTGGACAAAAACAGAAACTGCAAATGAAGACCAAAATGCATCTCACACATAACTCATTAAATATATTTAATAATATTATGAACAGAAGTTGTAAATAAAAATGAATCCCACATTTTATAACCAGTACACTTTACCTTTAAGGTATTATGGTTTCTGAGATAATTAAAATGGATTTAATGTTGTATATAAGCAATTATAGTGAATGTAATAGAGTTGTTACACAATGCAAACAATTTCTAAGTCGTCAGAAGTGGTTACCGTAAGGAAATACATCAATATCTTTGATGTCCTTCATAGTATTTGAAGCATGAAGTTACCATTTTCTCCTGTTTACGTAACTTCTTGTATGTGCGACTATCTGTTGGTGCTTTCCAATTTCAAAATAGAATGGTTCTGTGAATGCATGTTTGATTTCAGGGTCATGTAAATTCTGTATTCAGACATACAGTTCTCAGATTCTGGGATCCACACTTTCCTCTTCCAGCAGTTTAATAGTACCTTCATGGACCACCTGTTATGTAGCTTGGGAAGCAAATCTTTAATTGCAGCTTGTACAAGCTTTTACAGAAACGAACTCTTGGCTGGCTATGCATTGCTCATTATTAGGAATTGCTGGGAAAATTCCCTCACTTTATACAAGATTTTTCCATACACATATAATTTTTAAATTGATGGTGAAATTTTTGTGGTTATATGACATATTCATTCTGTTGTCTTAATTGTATGGGAGAGGAACTTATATTTGGAGAAACTGACAGCTGCTAAAAATACCTCAATTTTAGCAGTTTAATGCAGCCATGCTGTGATTATAGGACTGTGTATCACTCTCATTACCTGAGTACTGGAAAAATCCGAACACTGGAATTTCCTGAGTCCATTAAAACTCATATTCAACAAAACATCTCACATTATTTATACGGCTGACCAACAAGTGTGCCAACCTTATGAAGAGATGTGCGAAGAGCTCCACGGAGAAACACTTCCACCACAGAAACTGACCAGTTTGGCGGTATCATTTCTAGTACTTTGGCTGCATCAAAATCTCCTGCACGAGCATTCAGTAATTCAAGGGCTGGCGACAGGTATTCCTCTCTCTTACTGGCTCTGAAAATATAGAAATATCAAGACCCTAGACAACTTCTGAAGCATGGGCGCTGCCATGATTTTTTACACTGGTGGCAGGCTGCGTTCNTTTTTTCAGTACTTTATATTTTCTCTTCCTCTTTCAATTTTAATTTCTTTTAGTTCCAAGAAAGGTGGCATCAGATGCTTGGCTTGCCCCATCCCCTTCCAGTGCCTATATTCTGAAGTTAACTCTTGGTGCCCTCAGAATAACCTATCACTCTAGCTTCTATAAAGGCAAATTAATTTTAAATTTTCAATTGTGACAAAAAAAAATCAATTTCTTTCACTCAATAGTTCTACATCTTTACTTAGTTGTTTGGTGAATGAAAACAAGTATTACACTTGTTTTCATTAACTCAGTGACTTGGATATGGGGTGGTGATGTCCTTAAGGTGACTTACACCCTTGAAAATATGAACTTACTCCAATTTTGGGTCCAAGTATACAGCAAGCAGTGTGTGGAAGAGGTTGTGCTTGTATTTCAGTCCTTTCCCTTCAGTAGTATTTATGCAATACATCTCAGCTGCCTTGAAGTCCTTTAAGTTGTGCACCAATATGTCCAAGGCTTTCTCATGTTCTTCTATCTGTAAACATGGCATCAAATGCAGGCACAGAACTTACATGCAACAGAAGGCTGTTGTGCTCTCTTGAGTACGCTACTTACTTGCAGGCCAAATCAAAAACCCATAAACAAAATAATTATCATCCTTCTATGTTTTAAAGGAGCTATGAAAATTTTGCCACCTAAAATACTAGCTATGGCTGAACAGCTTGAGTTCAAGTCCAGGCAGATATGCTGGAATTTTTCTCTTTGCCACTCTGTTCAGAAAGTCTCTGTATCTAACCAATCATACATAGCATTGACCTGTTACCACCCACTACTAATGAAATGTTTTATCAACAGCACTAAAGGCTGTAATAGTGAACTGTGGGAAACTGAAACCGAGGAATATTAACTTGGAATACTATTGTATTAGAAGCCAGGATAGCTCAGCTCATACAGCGATGGGGTACACGCTGGGTGACCAGGGTTCAATTTCTGGCAGGGGTAAGAGACTTGTCTCTATTCAACAGTGTCCAAATAGGCTCTGGGGCCCACCAAGCTGCCTATCAAAAGGGTACTGGAAGCTTCTTCCCTTTCCCAGGGGTAAAGCAGCTGGGGATAAGAGGGCCAGTCACCTCCATCTACTGTCAAGGTCAAGAATATTAGAGCTATACCTCCACTTCTCCATGCCTTCATGGTATCATTATATTAAATTTACCTTTCCATATAGAATTGCTGCTTCTTGGTGTAGATCAGCTTCATTCATCTTGCCAAGAAGTAACTGAACACGGTATAGACTAGACACCTGCAGCAAGTAACGGAGTTTTGTTCTCAATTCCATTACTGCCTCCTGATTGCCTTCTTTTCGCTTCTTTAAAATGTCTTCCAGATACAGTATGGCCAGGTGTGTATGAAATTTCTCTGCCTGGAACACAAATTACATTAACTAATTTCATGTAGCTGAGCCCTTCTTGAGAAGCCACCAGTTGTGCAGCTACTAAAGAATTTTCCACCATTTTATGAAACCCGAAGGTTCATTACCATGTTCACAAGAACCTTCCACCGGTCCCTATCCTTAGTCAGATCAATCCAATCTGTCCCATCCCATCCTATCATATCCCTCTGAGATCAATTTTAAGATTATCCACCCACCTATGTCTTGGCCTTCTTAAGTGTTCTTTTTCCTTCTGGCCTTCCCATCAATGCCACTTCCTCCCTACTCGTGAGACATGCCCTGCCCATCTCATCTTCCTTGACTTAATCATTCTAATTATACTTGGTAAGATGTACAAGTTATGAAGTTCCTCAGTATGCAGTTTTCTTCAACTCCGTCACTTCATCTCTTTTCGGTCCAAATACTGGATGTGGCAAAGTTTACTACTCTAACTCCATTATCATCAGTAATTTCATACAAACTATCATTCCCAATTATTGGTTTGAAAATGTCTTCCCTACCTACTCTGGCACTAAAATCTACTTATAAAATTTTCATATGGATTTTAGGGAATTTATAGAATATGCATTCTAGTACCTTGTAGAAGCTGTCCTTAATATCATCAATTAAATTAAATCTCCTCAGTAAATTGCCAATTTACGCATAAGATTTATTTTATTGACATTATTACCAAATGTACCTGTATTTCTTGTTTAATGACTAGATGTTCAAGGTATTTTACAACTGCCTTTGGGTACTGATGCAGATAATTTAAAACTGTATCAGGTTTCAAAGCATCTGAATTCACTTCTTGTGCTGATCGCAGTGTAAAAATGCCCACACCAACTTCTTGATCACGGCTTAAGACAAAATCCGCATATCGCCACAAGAACTCAGGCTCCTTCAAACTGAAACAGAACTTCTGTAAAAAGCTAGCTCTGTACTTCTAGCCATTAGCATATAGAGTCCTATCAGTCTGTATTTAAGAATACTGTGACCATAGACCTGAACAGATCTATCATGTATGGAAATAAGATTCAGTTCAATTGTGTTAGATATCATTAGACAAATGAATATGATCCTGTTCTAGATATTTACATCTTGAGATTAGAAGGTAGAATCAATTTAAGAGGAAGTTATACAAGGTGGCTGAGGTTGGAACAAAGCTGTATTTAAAAATGTAAAAGCATAGTTAATATAGATTAGCTGACACCAATCTTGAAGTATGCACCAGATATGGACTTATAGGTAGAATTCACACATTCAAACAAAGTGTCTCAGAAGCACAACAGACATTTAAGTCACATATTATTTAAACATACTGGGTCACTTAACAAAACTTACTCGGCAGTGACCGAGGTGAGATCATGTATAGTGCACTAGAAAAGAGAATGCAGTGTCCATGGTCTATTTGAAAGTATTATCACAGCTTTGCAGTACTTAATTCATTGCCAGTAATTCCATAGGGCCGACAACTGTGACTGCACGATCTAAGGCATGAACTGTCTTCACGTGCTTGAACACGAGGATCATTGGTTTGAATCCAACTCAAAGCATGCATGTCTGCATTTATTCTGTTTTTTGTTGTCCTGCGTAGGTAGCGGCCTTGTGACAGGCTGATCCCTAATCCAAGAAGTCCTATAGACTGCCTTAGGTTAAGAAACTGTAGTGAAAGAGATGCCCTATGCTCAAAAGTGGGAGCAACAGGAAAGAAAGAGAATTCAATGGGGGATCTTTCATACACAGGTATATTTAAATTGTCACAGTATCTTGCAGAAACAAAATCGTAAAATTGTTTTTAATTTGATATGGGCATAAACGTATAAATATCTCAAAGGTACTAAAATAATACAGTTGTTCAGTGATCTCCCTAACATACGAGGGTCAGTCAAAAAGTTCCCGGAATGGTGGTATAGCACTCTAATGGTACGACATACGGCAACGCTTACCTAATCACCTTCAAAATAGGACCCTTGCACACGCACACACTTGCTCCATTGATCCTACCATTGTTGGAAGCAGCGGTGGAAGGCTTCTTTTGGAATCTTCCAGAGCTCAGCTGTCATATTCGATTTGATGTCCTCCATGGTTGCGAAACATGTCCCCTTGCAGCCAATTTTCAGAGTAGGGAACAGCCAAAAGTCACTCGGAGCAAGATCTGGAGAGTATGGTGGTTGAGTGATGACAGGAATGTTTTTCTCAGCAAGGAATTGCTGCACAACAAGTGATGTGTGGCTCGGTGTGTTATCGTGATGCAGAAACCGCTGTCCCTGCCACTTGTTGCGCCGCTTCCTCCAAACCACATTGCGCAACCTCTGCAAAACTTGCACATAGAAATGACCAGTAACAGTACCAACTTCTTACTCCAACTCCGCGATGGTCATTCTTCGATCACATCGAATCAGTTGTCGCACTTTTCCTATAATTTTTTCGGTTCTGGATGTCGAAGGTCTCCCACTGTGCTGGTCATCATCTAATGTCTCCTGCCCATCATTAAACCGGAAAAACCAGTAGTAAACTGCGGATTTCTTTAGTGCAGTATCACCGTAAATTTGCTGCAGGGCCAATAGCGTCTCTGAAGCAGATTTTCCCAATTTGCACATGAACTTGATGTTCACATGCTGTTTGAACTGCGACATTGCGCCGAATGACCAACACACGTCTTAATTCAAATGGAACAGTAACGACACTGCACACTGAAACCTGTCTAGACCTGTTGCGCCTGCGAGAAGACATGCTGAGCTTCCCACCACAACAGTGTGCACGCTATCTTATTGCTCGTTGCAGGGGAATTCCAGGAACTTTTTGACTGACCTACATATGTAAAGAAGTAAGAAACTTTATATATTAATTTGTGATATCATACATACTTTGCTAAACATTCGACAAAGAACTCTAGGCCATGAAACCTATCATCTTTGTACTCCCCAGAGATGATCTTGGCCCACACCTTGAGAGCTTTGTCATGGTCACATGCATGTCGGTGTAGTAATGCCAGAGCATGATAGCATTTGCTCTTCTCCAGCCAGTCACAACAATCCCTTACATCACATGTAATTTCACTGGCTGCAATAAAAGCTTCCAGTTCTGGAGCATTTATCTCAGCATATACTTTCAGCAATGCTGTATCTACTTCCTGAAACAGGTAGGAAAAATTAGCCCAAAATATTTCTGGACCAGCAGGTAATGTGTTTAATACTGTGCTGAGCAAAGCTGGAGAAAATGTATGCACAGGAGCTTTTGCAGTAACTTTCTCAATAATCTATATTAATATACATATGTATCAAGTTCATAGTCCATTCTCCACACAGTGTACACTGGAAATTAATGACAGTGGTGAGGTGTAAATGTAATATTTGTTAATTTTTGGAAGGAAAACAGAAAAATTCTTAAATCTGTTCTTTATATGTGTGGGTCCAAGTCCAAATCCCTTCCTTTGCTCAGTACACTCTGTAATTCCTGTCTTATTCAGGAAAAGCTGAAACTAATGCCTTCTCTGGGATATGGGGGAAACCTATATAGACGATTTCTATCCCACTCAGGGAAGGGTATGTTCTATTGTAGTGCCATTACTAGGAAATAGGGAAAACAAACTACTCAGTGCAATATTTTAACACACTGAGGACCGGTTGCATGATATCATGATTTTAGAACATGTTAGTTTGTAACACACTATACCTTGCTCTGGAGCCACCCAAGTTGCACACAATGGCATAACAAAACTCTGGAATGTTTGCTTACTTGTCGGTAACTTGACCTTGCTGTTTTCTTATGCCACTATACACGAAAATGCTTTGCTGCTCTTTGAGCTGTACGTATCAGCCAGTAGTTAGTGGTGGGGTATGGACAAGGACAAATTATTCTCCGACGAGCTAGATGGCCTGCCTTGTGAGACGCTTAGTCATGGGGATTCAGTGAGCGGCAGTGACAGGGGAGAACAAAGAATTGTGGCCACAGACAGTAAAAGTGAAAGTAGCTCTGACGATAATGGGGGTAATAACATTGCGGGGACAGCAAATAATCTAAAATAATCACAAAAATCTAAACCCTGATTCGGAATGGAAATACAAAGCATTTCTGATGAATGTGCCAAAGGCCTGGGCTACAGACTAGATGGTGGTGGCAGAACCAGAGTCAGACACAGACTTAGTGCGACCGGGCCCACCAACTCCCAACCCACGCAGGCCTCATGTGCACCC